CCCTGCTCTCTGATTGATGTATTCCTCTCGCTTTTTCTCGATCGTGGCACAAGAAGTGCATGGTCAGATCTCCCAGCTCATCAGAAGCGCTGCAGCTCTCTTATGCAAGCGTTCCATCCTCCAATCCTGAGTGCAAAATTGGTCACTGGGTCTGGCTAAGCAGCTCTTATTGTTTGCCGTCTACTGACGAAAGACACTGCAAAAGCTCCGGACTTCTTCGGGTCAGATGACGAGTCTACGACTGCTACACTCGTACCTGGACGCGCGCAAAGCACCCTCGGGCGGCTCGCTGTCACGTCTACCCCTCAATGCACGCTCTCGCGGGTGGAAGCATTGGAATGTTCCAGCAACGCGCGCTTCGCGTAGGTCACAATGGTCACGCAGGGCTTACAGTCGCAAACAGCGATACAAATGTATCCTCGACGCACGAGATTACCAATGACATGCGCGAGGAGCCTGCCTTTTGGATGTTCGAGGCAAATAGCCGTATGAGAATGACATGCGCCAGCGCTTGAGAATGGTTCAGTATGCAATCTAGATGTACGGTATGATTGGATTTGACGAAGCAGCGCTGAGGGAGTGACGCATCCTGACGGTCAACGGAGGGCCATGCAAAAGGTTTCTTCTACGTGACGAAAACTTCGCGCGCATGCTCCCGAAAGGTCGTGACCAATGCATCTCGATCAATGTTGGGATGCTGCCGCACCAACTTGCGAGCGGCAGCCTGGAAGTAAAGCACGGCCAAGTCGCACTGAGCTACACCCTCGTCAGCCCGTGTTCACACATACATTGCCGGCGATAAGGCAGCAAAGACTCACGCAAGACCTGTCAAAGAGACGATCAAGATTTTGCCATTTAGGATCGTCTTCACTGGCTTTATCCGCTGTTTCCTCGTCCTCGAATTTGACCTCGTCATACTCTCTAGATTGCTCCCTGATCAAAGCTTGCATCCTCAAAACCAAGTCAGGCTCGCGCGACAAAAAGCCAGCAAATTTCCAGGCCAGAGTTAATCCGCATACGAAAACGATTGTACCAGCCCCAAAGCTCCCAACAATTGGGCCGCCCGCGACGAATGCAGCCATGCATCCGCCTAGCAGCGCTAGGAACGCCCAGACCCCGAAGCGGACGAGAACTGCCCAGAATGAATTGACGTCTAGCGTCAAGTTTTGAAAGGCTCGGTACAGTTCTTTTGCAGCATCTTGCTGAAGTTGGTCGGCGATTTGAGCGGCAAAAATACCGGGCGCAGCCCCTACGCCTGGCGTATCCCTCAAATTGAGAAGGTAGATGCGCACCGCTTCTTGAGCGTGATAATCTGCGCGCAGCCAGTAGTGCTCTCGATTCCAATACAGCTTGCGGTCCGGCTCGTGTCGAAAGTGAGCCATGATGAGTGATATGAGAGGGTAGGAATGGGTGTGAGCGATCAGGCATGATGAGTGCTGAGAAAGAATG